CCCTCCTACATCTCGATCCGGGTGTATTTCCCCTCCTGTGCCCCAATCCGGATACGTTTCTTTTCCTGCATCCCAATCCCGGTGCAATTCCCTCGGCGCACCTTGACCTGGTTGTATTTCCCCATCCAGCGCCCCAATCCAGCAGCATTTCCATTCGGTGCACTCTGAGCCCAGTGTATTTTCCCTCTGGGTTCTGTGATCCAGCAGCATTTCCATTCGGTGCACTCTGAGCCCAGTGTATTTTCCCTCTGGGCTCTGTGATCCAGGTGCATTTCCCATCAGTGCACCCCAGCTCCATTGCATTTCCTACTGCATCCTAATCCAAGTGCATTTTCCTTTATGGATTGTGATCCAGGTGCATTTCCCCTGTTCCCCTCAATCTGGGTGCCTATCACCCCAATGCCTTTCGTGATCTGGCTGCATTTTCCCCTTTCCCCTTTGCTCCCCAATCCTGATGCCTTTTCTGCCCCCATCCCCTCTCAGGGGGAAATGCTGCATCTCCCCTTGGAACACCCCAAAACCTTTGGGGCATTTTGGGTCCTGAGCCTTGGGAGTTGGCATTGCTGAACAGTTCCCTTCCCCATGGTTCAGGAGTGAAAACTGAGAATTTTCCCCCTTTTTCAGGGATTTTGCTTTAAGCTTCCCTTGCCRCTCAGCTCTGTCCTTTCACCCCCAGGTTTACGCATCCATGAATATTTGTAYTTCCAAGTGCTGAGCCCCGGAGACATCCGCTACATCTTCACTGCCACCCCAGCCAAGGATTTTGGTGGTGTGTTTGTAAGTATAATAAACTGAATTTGGCACTTTGGGTCCCTCCATTCCAAGATTGCTCCTCAGTGGGGCTCGGTGATTTGGAGTTTTGATATAAACAGAGATTATGCTCTTCCATGAGCATCCAGAAGTGGGGATTGGCCCAAAATCGAGCATTCCCGTACCTGGGAGCCCAAAATCTCCCCAAAAGCAGCCCACACAGGGATGAGCAGAGTGTGGGATGAGCTGGGGAGGGGAACAATTCCAATTCTCCCTGGCTCAGCCCTGCTGTCTCCTCCGAGAACACAAGGTACGAGCAGATCCACCTGGTCCCGGCSGATCCTCCGGAAGCCTGTGGAGAGCTGAACAATGGGGTCTTCATCCAGGACCAGATCGCCTTGGTGGAGAGGGGGTAGGTCTGGCATCACGGGAGCTGCTGGCATGAGGGGAGCCCTGGCCACATCTCCCCATCACCACCTACCCCAGAGCATTTCATCTTGTATTTTTTAGTCTGTGCTGAGGTGGAAAAAAAACCCTTTCTGGGTTCAGATTGAGAGTCAGTTTAGATTAAACAGKGGGAAAGAGTTCTTCTTTGTGAGAGTGGTGAGGCTCTGGCACAGGTTTCCCAAAGAAATTCTGATGTTTCCCATCCCTAGAGGTGTCCAAGACCAGGGTGGACAGGGTTTGGAGCAGCCTGGGATAGTGGAAGGTGTCCCTGCCCATGGGACTGGATGAGCGTTAAGGTCTCTTCCAACCCAAACCATTCTATGATTTTATTTTCTATTTTCTTAGAATTGTGGGTGGCTTGTGCCTAAAATACACACTGAGAGGAGCAGGGTTTGGGGGAGSTGTGGAATCAGGGAGACAATCCCTCRKTTGGGTGTTTCCAGGCAAGCTCTGSCACATCCAGRCATTGGAGCTCCCTGTGGCCACCACAGGTTGGTCACTGTGTGGTCCCTGTGTGCCACAGGGGCTGCTCGTTCCTGTCCAAGACCCGAGTGATCCAGGAGCACGGSGGGCGGGCTGTGATCATCGCTGACAACGCCTATGACAACGACAGCTTCTACATCGAGATGATCCAGGACAGCTCCCGGCGCACAGCCGACATCCCCGCGCTCTTCCTGCTGGGCAGGGAYGGGTACGAGCCTGGGCTGCCTTCCCGGGGTGGGACAGCTCCTGGCAACGGCAGTGACAGCCTTGTCCCTTCACAAGGGGGACAAGCATGGCCCTGTCAGGCTTGGGGAGTCACATTTGGCATGGATTCAGTTCTGGTTAATCAGCAGAGTTTGAGCTGGGYTGTGGTTTATGCTCAAGTCTGGCTCCTCTCTCCCAGCTCTGGCAGTTCAGGAACACGTGTCACCCTATTTCCCTTCCAGGTACATGATCAGGCGCTCCCTGGAGCAGCACGGACTCCCCTGGGCCGTCATCTCCATTCCTGTCAACGTCACCAGCATTCCCACCTACGAGATGATGCAGCCCCCCTGGACCTTCTGGTAGCAGCAAGAGGCTGTGGCAGATCGAGGACTTCCTGGTGGATCCCAGGATCTCACCCTAAGGACCAGATTTGAGGAAAGATCCCAACGTGCTCCAGAGATCCCGCTGGATTCGGCGACAGGGAGATCTTTTTGCTGGCACCAGTGTGTGACCAAGGACAAACACCAGTGCCAGGGGGGAACCTTGAGCCTGGCACCAAGCTGTGACTGTGGGAGGGAGGTGAGGGCCCAAAGCAGGCCAGCACTTCCCAGGAAACATTTGACCTTGTGCTGCTGATTTGGAGGGATGCAGGACTGGCAGGGACGGGAGGGAGAGCAATACAGGCTTGGTCTGTACTAGCAGGGCTCACCCCATGTCTGTATATTTTTGTCTGACCTAATGAAGTCTGARTAAGTTTTAGAGAAAGGMAAGTTTCTCTTTTATTTCCAGCTGTCAGGGGATGTAGGGATGTCATCCCTAAATTTATCCTACTAAAATTCTCCCAGTGCCACCTGCAGCTRGGGAAAGGCTCAGTCAGAGCCTCATGGGACAGCACAGCTTCCAGCACTTGTCCCCAAGGCTGGGCTGGTCACTAATGCAGAGCCCACACTGCCACAGGGGTCTGTTCCCTCAGACCCATGTCCCCACAGGACCAGCCCCTGTGTCACAGCCCTCTCTGCACCCAGCACCCTCCAGTTTACAAAGCACAGGGTCCCAGCTGTCACCAGGTTCAGTTTATTACGAACACAGAAGGGGACAGGTCCCGGGATGGCTGGGGACAAGCAGCAGGAGGCAAGGCTGGCAGTGATGGCAGCGTCACAGGGGTGCCACCCTCRGTCCCACAATCCAGCTGCCACGGACACAGTGGTGGTAAACAGCTCCCCAAAATCCATGGAGGGAGGAAATAACCCCAGGTGCATCCCTGGCCTGCTGCTTGTCCTTCACTTGGAGTCKTGTTGTCCTTCCAGCCACATGGTCTGCAGACAGGGACACTGCAGTGTGGCATGGCCTTGTGGGTGGCAGCATGGGATGGATGACAAGGGGACATCCAGTGGGGCCACTCGGTGCTGGCACATCTCCTTGTGGGATCACTGGGTGCAGGGAAGCACCAGCACACAGGGCATCGCTGGGCACAGCCCCTCCTGCACTGGCACGTCCTCATCCCACAGCCAGATGGAGGAAGGGACAACTCCCTCTGCAAAACCCAAAATGTCCTTTTTGGATGACACCASAGCCCATGTCGGCTCCTGGCCATTCTCCATCCCCAAATGGTTTTGCAGTCACTGCCCGGGGCTCTGCGTCATGGGAAGGATGGGCCGAGTTGGGGAGGAGGTGCCTGCAGGGTCAGCTCTGCTCTCCCTGCTGGACTCAAGATCTGAGCCACCTTCCAAGGTGTCCCCTGCAAGATCCTCCTGCCCCTCACTGCTGGACTCAGATCTGAGCCACCTTCCGAGGTGTCCCCTGCAAGATCCTCCTGCCCCTCACTGCTGGCCAAGGCATGGAATGGAGCATACATAGGGGCCCAGCTCCACAGTGTGTAGATAGTGCTAATATAGACATTAAATAGTACCCCTCGTGCACAGACACACGGACACACACACGCATTCCCCTCGACCCTGCAAGGTGGGAAGGACACGCTCCTCCGCATCCACGGCTGGCACAGACACAGCAAAGTGCCCTTGCAGGTGGCCACAGGTGACCAGAGTGCCATCCCAGGGGCTGGCTGGATCCCATTGTCCTCCCACCTCCCCTGGGAGCACCAGCCAGCCCTGCTGGGAACTGGGATGTGGTGTAGGGCTTCTGGCTCACAGCCTGTCCCCAGGGAGGACAGGAACAGCCTGACACACACACACAAACGCACACAGAGAACACGGAGAGGCGGGAGCAGGGCCTGCCTCTGGCTCCTGGCTGCCCCACTCCAGCACCTCCAGCACCCGACCCCACAACACAACCCTGTTCCTAATATTAAAGCTGCTGCCTCTCAGAGGAACCCCCAGGCCCTTCCCTTCCCATTCTGTCCCTCTCCTCTCGCCTGGGGCCAAGATCACACATCAGTCATCTCATCCTCCARTTCAGCATCGTCCGTCTCTCCTTCGCCCTCCTCCTCTTCGTCCGATGTCACGTCGGCATCGTCTGCTTGTGCGAGGCACTTGGGACACGAGCAGGTAAACAAATAGTTCTCCCTAGAAGGGGACAGGGATGGTGTTGACACAATCCCACACTGCTGCTGGACAGGGGGTTGGGAGGAGAACAGCCAGGAAGGGGTTAAATGTGTCCAAGCCAGAGGAGTTTGGGGGTTCCATCCTGCTGGCTCAGGAGGRGTAAAGGTACTCCAGGTGGAGAGGGGGATTTCTCAGCCCCACAAAGGTGATAGGACATGGGGACAGCGACAATGAGCAGGAACCTGTACCCTTGAGGGGCACAGAAGGAAAAGGACAGTCTGCAGAGTGGTGCAAGCCCGTAGAGAGAGGAGGAACCCAAATCCTTGATCCCTGAGGCTATAACACATTACAMGGAGCCCCACAAGCACCACACACTGTCACAAACCCCCTGAAGTTCCCGTGCACAGCCACACCCCAAAGGCACACACAGCCCGGGAGGGGAGGCTGCCCTGAAGGACTGTTTGGTGTGTAAAGAGCTGTGCAGTCCCCCCACCCCAGTACCTCCAGGCAGCCCCTACCTGAGTATCTTGTTGCGGCTGTGTCTGCTCCGCTCCCTCTGACAGCAATCTAAGTAACTGATGCAGATTTCCTGCGAGCAAACACAAATGGGTTGGGCTAAGAATTGCTCCTCACCATCCCAAAGCAGCCCGATTTGTCCCAGTCCCTCTCAGTCAGGCAGAAACGTGGGGTCTGGCAGCCCCTGCATGGGATGGGGATTGAATTCCTCTGCCAAGATGATGCTGGGGACAGGAGGTATTGGGGCTGGGGTCCACGGAGGATGTAGGGGACACAGGAGGTATTGGGGCTGGGGTCCATGGGGGATGTAGGGGACACAGTAAAGATGACAGTTGTGATGTCACCTTAGGTCCACCCAGGCCCTGCTGTCTCACCTCTCCTGCTTCAATGTCCTCCAGAGCAGTGAGATGCAGGAGGAAGTTGTTTTCTGGGAAGGATGTCTCGGCATTGGGGATGCAGCTGTGGTTACCTATGGGCAATACAAAGCTCTTTGCTAAATGCCTAAGTGGCTCCTGGAACCCACATCATATCTCTGTGATCCAAGCCAAGACTGGCCACTCCGCAGCTGGGCAAGGTGCCAGGGGACACTGAGAGCAGCACCCATCACATCCCACCCATCCCATCTCATGCCATGGATGGCAAGCACAAAGCCCTTTCTCCAGAGGCTGTCAGGAAGAGGTGAGCCAGCCTAGCACAGGACATTTCCCCCTCCAATCCTAGCYTTCCTCCCAGTCCTTGTGTCACTCACAGCAGCTCTGGAGCACGTAGAGCCCTGATCCCTCGCAGTTGAGGAACTCTCCCGACTCTGCAGCACAGAGAGAGGGGTTAGAGCTTTTCATGATCCATTCCAGCTCTTCCACACACGAGCACAAAGGGATGTCCATCAACATGGCACACCCACAGCCAGCTCTGCTTTGGGGTTGGGTGTTGGAGGGTGATTTCCCAAGAGCCTTTCCCTCCCACTGGGAGGGGATGGAGGACAAAGATTCATATCCTGAGGCTCCCTGTCCTGTCCCTGCACTCCCACAGGGCCTCACCCTTCTCGATGTCCTTGTAGAGCTGGTCAATGAAGGCGTCCAGCTCCTCCCGCTGCAGCATGGGCAGGTCCAGGGCATCACACGCGTGCACCCACTGGCTCAGGGAGCTGTTAGGGGAAAAATGGGACACTGTTCCA